AGCCCGATGTGGGGCTCGATCCCAGGACCCTGGGACCATGACCCGAGCTGAAGGCAGACGTTTAACGACTGAGCCACCCAGGCGCCCCTTAATTTGCTTTATTAAACAGTCTCATCCCTCCTATCTCTTCAGGTGGCTTTTATTTTGCATACAGTGTGTGGAGTGCTGTAGAAACCTTTTCTTGCCCTTGGTAATGAAGATCCTTGCTCTTCCCCCCTCGAGGTATTACGACCATCGTCTCTGTAAAATGTGGACATATTTACTGTGTGAACAGTGTGTGTATTTCTTTGTTTCCTTGCTTAAGTATTATCCTGGCATAACTTCGTTGCTCCCAGCTGAATGCTGGAACTTGACATTAAGGCATAAAGAACCATGTAGGAAAATATCTTGCACCTGGTGCCAATCTACAAATTCTTACTCTTCCTGGAAGAGAAGGTCATTCAGGCACATGTATGGTACCAGAATCCAAAGGCAATGAAAGAAAGACCTTCTTGGCTATATTAAAAATAATTTTATTCACCCTCCGCGAGGCAAACCTGGAAGAAGATTAAGAGATAAGTTGCCCCCATTTATCATCATACAATCAATACATTCAGTCGACATTTCCCCTGACACTCTATTAAACCAGCCCCCTCTACTAGGAAGATAAAACTCTTTAAATAGAAAATAAGTAGACAGTGATGAACAGCAATATTATCCCTGCCTACAATTTAAGTTCCCAGGACTTTGGTAAACTTTTGAATCCTCTCTGCTTGGGGCATAAAATTCTATTTCCCTGCTATCTGGGGAAGAGCATTTGAATGACTTGCTCTTTCAGTGGAGTTTCATATTATAGGACAGAAGAATGACTCCTATACTTAGAGAATGAGTAGCAATGGCCTAGGTTTGCCATAAGTAGGGCATTATGACCCTACTAAATAAGGGACCAGGTAGATGTATACCCAGTTCTGCTTACCAAAATGACCTGCTATGGAAAGAGATTTATTATAAGGAATTGATTCATGCGATTATGGAGGCTGAGAAGTCCCATGATCCCCCGTTTACAAGCTTGAGACCCAGGAAGGCCAGTGGTACTGTTCTAAGGCCTGAGAACAAGGAAAACTATTGGTATAAATTCTAGTCCAAGTCTGAAGGCCTGAGAACCAGGAGTGCCAATGATGTAAGTCCCAGTCCAAGGGCAAGAGAATACCAAAGTCCCAGCTCAGTAAGGCAGGAAGTAAATTCTCCCTTCCTCTGCCTTTTTGTTCTATTCAAGTCCTCAAGGGACTGGATGATGCCACCCACATTGGGAAGGGCCAGCTGCTTTGCTCAGTCTACTAATTCAAATGCTAATCTCATCTGGAAACACCCTAATAGACATACCCAGAAATAATGTTTAGCCAAATATCTGGGCATTCCATACTCTGGTCAAAGTGACACCTAAAGTTAACCATCCCAGTTAGGAAACTAATATTTATTGACATTTACTAAGGTGCCAGGCAATGTTGTTTGTGCTTTGTATATACATTAGCTATCCCACTTGCCTGGAGGCTTCAGGAAGGTGTAGACCATGTCTCTCTCGCCGAGCTTTATCTTTTCAGTATCCAGCATAGTTCATAAGCTCACAGGGACTATTCACCAAATGAATAAATGAATAGAAGGACCTCATCAAATCCTCAAAACAAGCCTGTCACGTGGACAAGGTAGGGCACATCTTCATTTTCCAGATGAAGAAATGGGCCCAATAAGTTGAAGAACATTGTCATCTCATTAGAACTTTGAAGAAGTGTTTTCTGGCTATCTAAGCATCTTTCCAAATAATAAGAGTAAAGCAAGATTCTTATTGACTAATAAAAGACATGTTAAATACTAGAACAAGCCTGTGAAATCCAACATCCTGACTTGTTCAGTAAAGCCCTCACCACTCAAACATAACACTGTATCTCTCTGCATGGAGTAGGAGAATAGCTTTCCATTTAAAGCAAAAGACTCAAGACATTTTCTTTGTCAGTGTACCCAACACAATGACACCAGATGTGAGGATTGTGTAAAACATCTTTCAAGAAGTTGACTGTGTTATGTGAACAGTATTGACTTGAATGAGATACCAGCTATTACTCATCCCATTTTACAGATTGGGAAAATAAGCAATGAACAACCAAAGTAATTTAAATCTGTGAGTAGAATCTGGATTTCTTCAATCCCAGCCTTTCCCCCATCATAATAACCTGCTAGTGTCACTTCCTAGAAGTCTCAACTGAACCCACATGACTACAGGATTATTTTGTTTGACTCATACAGTATTACTATATTTTGTTGATTAAACCACAGGAGATAGTCTATGCTAATCTTAATTGCTGACCACTCTTAAAAATACAGATGATCTGGTAATGCCAAGTAGACTTCCATGACCACAATGTCTTCCTTTTACAACCTTTACTTTTTTTTTTTTTTTTGGTGGTGAAATATACATAACACGGGCACCTGGGTGGCTCAGTCAGTTAAGCATCTGCCCTCGGCTCAGGTCATGATCCCAGGGTCCTGGGATCGAGCCCCATGTCAGGCTAGCTGCTCAGCGGGGAGCCTGCTTCTCCCTCTCCCCTCTGCTCATGCTCTCTCTCTAAAATAAATAAATAAAATCTTTAATATATATATATACATAACACACAATTAACCATTTTAGCCTTTTTTAAGTGTGTAATTCGGTGACATTAAGAACATTCACTATGGTGCGCCTGGGTGGCTCAGTTGGTTAAGCGTCTGCCTTCGGCTCAGGTCATGATCTCAGGGTCCTGGGATTGAGCCCGACATCGGGCTCCCTGCTCAGTGGGGAGCCTGCTTCTCCCTTTCTCACTCCCCCTGCCTTTGTTCCCGCTCTTGCTGTCTCTCTCTGTGTCAAATAAATAAAATCTTAAAAAAAAAAAAGAACATTCACTATATTGTGCAACAATCACCACTATCCATTTCCAGAACTTTCCCATCAACTCCCTGAGATTCCCTCCCCTCCTCTAACCCCTAGTAGCCTCTGTTATACTTTTCTGTCTCTATGATTTTGCCTACTCTAAGAACCTCAAATAAGAAGAATCATTCATATTTATCCTTCTGTGTCTGGCTTATTTCACTGAGCATAACATTTTCAAGGTTCATCCATGTTGTAGGATATCAGAATTTAATTTCTTTTTAAGACTGAAAAACATCCCATTGTATGTACATACCACATTGTGTTTATCCATTTATCTGTTGATAAGACACTTGGGATGTTTCCACCTTTCGGCTACTGTGAACAATACTGCTATGAACATTGATGTACAAGTTTTCTGTTTGAATCTCTGTTTTTAATTCTTTTGGTATATACCTAAAAGTGAAACTGCTGGATCATATGGTAATTCTATGTCATCCAGTGGGTAAGATGGGTAGAAATATTTAAAATTCTTGAATGGCTAAAAATACTTTTATCCTATCTTCAAATTTAATTGGTAGTTTACCTGGGAACAAAATTCTGGGTTGAGAATCATTTCCCTTCCAGATATTGAGGCATTGCTTCATTTGCTCTAAGCTTCCGATTTTGCTTTGGAAATGTCTGATGCCATTGGGATTTTCAATTCATTATATGGGATCTGATTTTTCTTCTCTGTAAGGTTTTTGTTTTCTAAACTTTGCAAAGATATTTTTTTAGAACAGTTTTTGAGTTTTACAGCAAAATTGAGGGGAAGGTACAGAGATTTCCCATATACCCCCTGCCCTAATGCATGCATAGCCTCCTCATTATCAGCATCTCCCATCAGAGTGGTATATTTGTTACAATTGATGAACTTACATTGACACATCATATCACCCAAAGTCCATAGTTTACATAGAGTTCACTCCTGGTGTTGTATGTTCTATGGGTTTGGACAAATGTATAATCACATGTATCCATCATTATGGTGTCATACAGAGTATTTTTACTGCGCTGAAAATCCTCTATGCTCCACGTATTCATCCCTCTTTTCCCCTCCCCACAACCCCTGACAACCACTGATCTTTTTACTGTCTCCTTAGTTTTGTCTTTTCCAGAGTGCTGTGTAGTTGGAATCATATAGTAGGTAGCCTTTTCAGATTGGCTCTGTCACTTAGTAATATGCATTTAGGATTTCTCCATGTCACTTCATGCCTTGCTAGCTCATTTCTTTTCACCGCTGAATTATATTCCTTTGTTTAGATGTACCACAGTTTATCCATTCACCTACTGAGAGACATCTTGATTGCTTCCAAGTATTGGCAACTATGAAGAAAGCTGCTATAAACATCTGTGTGCAGGTTTTTGTAAGTTTTCAACTCCTTTGGGTAAATACCAAGGAGTGCAGATGCTGAATCATATACTAAGAGTATGTTTAGTTTTTGTTAGAAATCACCAAACTGTCTTCCAAAATGGCTGCATCAATTGCATTCCTATCAACAAGGAATAAGAGTTCCTGTTGCTCCAAATCCTCATCAGCATTTGGTATTGTCGATGAGTGCTCTGGATTTTGGCCATTATAATAGTACCTCACTGTTGTTTCAATTTCTGTAAGCTTTTAGAATATTCTCGTACTTTGTCTTCTGAAATTTCATGGTGCTGTATCTTGGCATGGAATGTTTTCTCATCTGTTATTATTAGGCACAATGCCTATTAACTCAGCCCCTTTTAAGCTAGGATGTTTTGGTTTTGGTGTATTATAATTTCCTCCTCTTCATTCTCTGGAACTTCAATTATTCATATGTTGAAACTCCTGAACTGATCTTACTTTCTTATCTTTTCTCTCATATTTACACCTCTTTGTCTTTTTGTCTTAATTTCTGAAAGATTTCTTCAACTCTGTCTTCAAACTTGTCCACTGAATTTGCTTCCCAGCTTCTAATTTCTAAGACCTACTGTTTCTGTCCCTTTTTAAGGCATCCTATTCTTTTGTGCATATAATATATCAGTTCCTCTCTCTATGGCTATTCATAGCTGTTTTCTTTCTACTCTCTGACTCTTTTTATTTTGCTTTCCTTATCCCTGCCCCATCCCCACACCCCCACGTGTGTTGTTCATTTTGGTCTCTGTCTTTCATTTTGGAGAATTTCCTCCAAATGTCTGGTTCCTTGGCTGTCTGTTCATATTAAAGAATATGGCATTAATAAGCTGATCTTAAATACCAGGCTCCAGAGAAGGTTGGTGCATGGAAAGCTTCATCACAGGGTGATGTGGCTTCAAGCTGGCTTTGTCACTGATACAACCTATAAATGCTGGCATCTGTAGGTCTTTTTTTTTTTTTTCTGGGGCTGTTAGTTTCAGCAAAGAAGAATCTTTTCCTGCCAGGCTGACTGTGGGGAGAAGAGAGATATAAGCTTGACTGTTGGGCATTCTAAACACTTAGCTAGGTAAAGGTTGCAAGGGTCCAGAAAATGTCATAGGCTTCAGAATACCACACAATTACTAAGTTTTGGAGAGTTGATAGGACTCTGTTTTTTTATGTGGTTTTTTTTTCCTTTTTCTCAATATAAAGTCTTACTTAGAATGGAAAATTTCAGAAGCTAAAATAACTCTACTGCGTATTTTAGACAGGGGAACAGGTTGGCCTTTTGTCACAATGAAGCAAAATATTCCTAAAAAAAAAAAAAAGCCTGCTTTTTCTGAAGTTTGCCAGTTTGGATGTTTGTCATGCCCCAGAAACTGCTGGTAACAGCCCAGGATGGTAAGGGGGAATAAGAAAGTTTGGATCTGTCTGTGGATGTTGAAACTCTGAAGCTCGGCCAAGACATGAAGTCATTTTAGGGTCTAAGAAATGGAAGTAAAAGCTTAGAACATCACTAAATTGTAACAGATGAACTGAATTCCAACCAAAAATACAGATATCTTACAAGATTGTGTTCACAAGCAAATGTTTGCACTATTGTACTGAGACATTGGAGAAATGCAAACGGGGCCTGAGGTTTGAGTTGCTGCTGCCAACCAAAATATATGTTCTAGAAAACAAGAGGAATGGGTTTTTGAAGGGCAGAAAGAAAGCAGTTCTGTCTGATGTTAAAGTAAACACACCTGCAACCAAGTAATTATTCAGCAATATAAAAATACTGCCTGTACAATATAGTCCAAATCAAAAAAGAGCTTGGGTTTTGATTTATGTATCATAAATTAGCTGATAATGAGAGATGCATTTTTATAAGAAGTTACATAAACGCTTTTTCTAAATCATCTAAGATTTTGGAAAAGTCCCCAAATTTTATGTTTTGTCCTTTAAAATTTAAAGACTGAGATTGAGTTTCTAGAGAGGGAAAGTTGACCTGGGTACATTTAGGAGAAGCAGAATATTTGGATTCTCACTATTCTCTTTTGGGTGACTCCAAACTCCAGTATTTTTTATTTAAAAAAATTTTTATATGTTTTTATTTTATTTATTTATTTATTTTTTTAAGTAAGTTCTACGTCCAATGTAGGGCTTGAACTCATGATCCTGAGGTCAAGAGTCGAGTGCTCTATCAACTGAGCCAGCCAGGCATCCCCAAACTCCAATAATTTTTAAAGGTGAGATAATGCTATATTCTGAACCTTTTATTCTGAGGTGGTCCGAGTGGTCTGAACAGTGTTTGATCAAAGTCTTATTCTTTTGAGATTTATGGTGCCCCATTTAACTTCTGGGTAACTGTTGGCACCTGGTTGGCATGTCATATCCTTCTCTTCAGATTACTGAAAGACAGCTTCCCGGAAATTTATCTTCAGTTAATAATTAAAGATACATACACACATTTATATAGAGGGAGTCACAATAGCAAAATATTGGAGGCTATCTAAATAATCTGTGAGGGATTGGAAAGGGGGGATTCATCCAGAAAAAGAAAAAAAAAAGAAAAAAGAAAAAAAAAGTCTGCCAGCTTTGCCAGGGTTTGACTTACTGTGTTTATATGTTTACTGCCTAAATATGTAGTAAGTTAAAATGATAGTAAAAGCATATAAAAATACCTGGAAGTAAAATGAAAATCCAGTTGACCCTAGATGTCTGGTTTACCTGATGCCAAGAATCTGAGATAGTTTGTTTGGAGGTATGACGTATATATATAAGGTACACAGATCTTAAACTAGATGAAATTTTATACATGTATATATACACACATATGTAACCACCATCTAGGCCTAGACACACAGTATTTCCAGCACCCCTGGAGGGATCCACCTGCCATTCATCTTCTCAGTCAAATCCTAACTCAAGTCCTGACCCCGGTAACCTCTAGTCTGACTATCTACAGTTTTAAAAAATATTGGGCAAACAGCTAGATCTCTCCAGTTATAAGAAGGTTTGGTTTCAAAATACTTGGGCTTAATGTTTCATTTGTTTTCTGTATTGTTCAGTCTCAGTACTACACCCACGGAGGGAATCAATTTCTTTCCTGTCCTTTTTCTGTCAGTTTCTGTAATTTTCCACAAAGGATGAGGAAAACAAAAATTTCTCCTCCTATCCTTTTATCTCCTGGGAACTACTGAAACATCTCTTCACCTACTTGAATTTCTCTTTTAAGTGGCAGAATAAGAACCACAAAAGGAACTGTTAACAACAAACAACAAAGAGTTTAATTAACAACCTCTTAGCTCACTTCAAAGGAGTGAACAGTACATGTAAAAGAATAAAATGAAATACATGGTAGTAATATAAAGAGTCTTAAAAATGCTCATGGCTTTTGACCCAACAATTCTATATCTAAAGATGTATTCTGAGGAATATTTAGAGATGTGTGCAGAGATTCACACACAAGGAGTTAACAACTGGAAATGAACTAAATGCCCCCAAACTAGAGAATGTTTAAATACAGTAATTCATTCAATGGAATACCACGTAATTCCTACAAATGCAACTATTGAAGTGAATTTATAAATAATCATAGTCAAGAATGTGAAATATTAAAAAAAAGCAAGTCACAAAATATTATATATACAACAGTGTCCCATTTTTGCCAGTAAAGGGCTCTGGGTTTTACCACTTAAAATCTGTGTGATCATGGATAAGTTGCTTAATATCTCTGAGGCTGAGAGTAAATTATTTTACATTTATCTGTAAAATAATGACAAAACAGCAAAAATCACATCATGTCATTGTGAAGATTATTTCACATTTATACATCTTGTTAACTATGATTAATACTAATTTGTTATTAATATTAATTTGCTATTATTAATATGTTAACATACTAACCAATTGCATGTTAAACACTATAAAATTGCATGTTCTTAATGTAATTTCTGTGCTTACAATTTTGAAATGATACCCAACTATTTTTTCCTCATAATGGCAGAAATATTTTGCCTGTGAAGCCATAATCCATTTATTCTCTTTCTTCTTACCTACTATATCTATAAATTTTGGATTATTTTAGGCTGTCAATAAATCTTAGTGAAAAATAAGGCATTATGAAACCATCCTGAAGACAAGATTGCAATAATAACTGAGAGTAAGTTAAACATTAATTTATCCTTTCGAGAATAATAAACACACCTAGAAGGGCCTTAAGAGTTCATAAATTTCCCTTAGTTCAAGACTTTTATTTTATCAAGAGATGAAGGAACAGAGGTTCACTTACTTTGCTTAACCTTCTTCCTAAGTGACAGGGCTGGGGCTTGAACCTGGTTTTGTTGACTGCATTCTCAACTCTGTCTTCTGGGTGCAGGCATCCAGCAATTACATGTGATAAAGTATTCAATTCAATGCTGTTGATGATAAATCAGAAAATTGCTGAGCTTTTTAAGGTGAATAAAAATACATTCTGGATGGCTAAAAATAAGCAACATTACTAAGCAGAACTTTTCATTCGTAGCTATTTTCTTTACCTATGCAATTTAGAAGCATAATGATCCTGAAAGAGACAGTACATTAAAAAAAACAAATCAACTAAAACTCACTGTATGATTCATTGTCCTTTGGATGTAATTTTCCCCTGAGAAATGTCACCAATAAGAAGGCTCTTCATTGGAAAATTACACTTTTTAAAAAATATCTTCTAGGGGCGCCTGGGTGGCTCAGATGGTTAAGTGTCTGCCTTCGGCTGGGGTCATGGTCCCAGGGTCCTGGGATCGAGCCCCGCATCGGGCTCCCTGCTCAGCAGGAAGCCTGCTTCTCCCTCTCCTGCTCCCCCTGCTTGTGTTCCCTCTCTCGCTGTGTCTCTTTCTGTCAAATAAATAAATAAAATCTTAAAAAAAAAAAATCTCTTCTAATCCTCTTATAGATGTATGCACTTCTCCTGCAAATGTAATACATACCTTTACAACCTAAACACTTTTTGGTCCTTTTGAGGGTTTTTTTCTGTCTCAGCCTTTTATTCTTTTTACTTTAGTTTTTAACAATTGTCTTTCAAATTGTGTGATCAGTGGGAGTTTTGTAGTCTCTTTTCATTTTCTTCCTGTGTTCTGAGAGTAATTCTTTTTCATAGTTTGACTAACCTTGTTTTCTTGCTTATGCAAATGCATTACTAATTCTCACCATTTTTGCTTTTTATATCTTTTCCATTTCCTGACTCTATCCATACCTTAATTTCCAAGATGACTCTCCATGTTTTTTCTAAATATCTGTCATTTCTTTACATCCCTAAATTATCACATCCCTTACAGATCTGAGTAATCACACAATTTCTCACCCATCAGTGCAGGGTGTTGGACTGGATTACATTGTGAGTACTTCTCCATATTAAAAGATTTAACGAGTCTCCATCCATACTTCATTTATACTTTATAATATCACTTCCCTATCTAAAATTGAAGAAACCATTTATTTATTTATTTATTTATTTATTTATTTATTTATTTATTTTTAAAGGTTTTATTTATTTATTTTTAAAGATTTTATTTATTTGAGAGAGAGCGCGAGCATGAGCGGGGTGGAGGGCCAGAGGGAGAGGGAGAAAAAGACTCCCCATTGAGCAGGGAGCCCCAGGACCCTGTGATTGTGACCTGAGCCAAAGGCACATGCTGAACCAACTGAACCACCCAGGTGCCCTGAAACCATTTTGTTCTATTAGGTAATTCCCATCTCGTAAGTTTCAGATTTACAAACAACTACCCTACCCTCCTACACCAAGACCCACAGGAAGGCCCACAGCAAAACACCGGATCCTTCAGAGAAGCAAAGGAGGCAGGAGGCTGCCAGAAGAAGGAATGGCTAGGAGATCTGTCCTGGAAGAAACTTGCTACAAAATACCCTCCTTCACACTTTTCAAAACTCCAATCGTGTCCCCCTAGGAAAGTTAAGGGACATTAACCACAGATGACTTGGAGCCAGAGCGTGAGTCCAACAGCTTCCTAATACCTGGCAGGGACATGAGGCCTGGAAACTCTGCTCAAGACAAGGGGAAACCCTCCTCTGTCTTTTCCTTGCTTTTCCTCTTGTCTTCCGGGTCTTTCCTTTTGCTCTCTCCTCCTCTGTTCTCTTGCATTTTGCTGTTTATTTCTCCCGGGGCTCAGAACTCAGGCCGCTTCTCACAGCATTATTGCAAAGGTAGAGTTTTAATAGTTAAACAGACTTCTGTGGGCCACTCTCGGAACTTAACCTCCAATTACCACATTGCTTCTGAGGGAAGGGGTTGGCCAGTCACAAAGCCAAACAAAGAAAGCCATTAGTGAATGAAAAGAAGGAAAACAATCGAATTTGTAAATTGAAAACTCTTTGTTGTTTTTGTTTTGGGGCTTAGAACTTGTATCCTATTTTCAAGTTTTTGCTCTTCCCAACTAAATATTTATGTTTTCCAGTTCTTCAAAATCATGTAAGCCTTTCAGGAAATGCTTTGGAATGTCGCTTAAATCTGCTTCTTTTGGGGTGCATCACAGTGTTCTCTTTCTTACTCTTGATTTTACATAGTCTTCCTGGACTGTTCTCTGTTAGCCAGACTCATTGTGCTGTCAATTTTGGCCTTTTTGATCACCTGGTTCGCTTGTGTCCCCTCGCCGTTCCTACTGCTGTAGGTCAGTCCTTGTCATGGCCTGCGTCTGGGCACACAAATCCAACCCCCTTGTCATATCAACACGAGTACTTTTATGTCTACTTGTTATCTCTTTAGTATTTTGAAGTGCCATCTCTGTCCTCTGCTAACCACCTTATTTTTTCCTTAACATGTATTAATTTTTAAGATACTTTACTTTCTCTTCCCACCACTTCATTTTATGGAAGGGGCATATCTGAGAGAGGTCTTTTTCTCTTTGGTGGCTGAAGTTAATATTTGTCTTTCTGGCGATTTTTTTTTTAATTTTTTTTTTAGAAGACTTTATTTTTAAGCAATCTCCGCACCCAACATGGGGCTTGAACCCACAACCCTGAGATCAAGAATCTCACACTCCACTGACTGAGCCAGCCATCTTCCTGGCGACTCTTAAGTGTCCTAACAGACCTCACTATCTTCATCCTCTCTTCCTTTCTTATCTCTCACTTAGGCTATGTGTTGTTGCCATTGTGTGTGGGTCTCCTCTACGCAGCAACCTCTCTTCTTCGTCTATCATTCTTAGGAAAACTTTTCATGCATCCACATGAGCTTCTCATCCAGAGTTTGGTCCTTACTGGTGTAGAGACACCACCAGAACTACACATACTAGATGTATGATTCCCACTTGAAACACTGTAAAACGGCCTTTGCTTGTGTTAAAGGGCTACTCCAGAATGCCTTACTCTATCTGTAGATAGAGTCAAGACTGGACAAGAGCACCACTAAAAGCTCTGGCAGGTGTCAGCGTCTTTGCCTAGGTTGTTCACACTGCCCTACTTCAGCAGGATGCACGTGGTGACTTCCTCCATGGAGCCCCTGCTCATCAGTAATTCTGAGGGTTGTATTAGCTTTCAGGCTGTAAAATGATAACCTCCTAGGGCTAACAGGAGAATGGGAAAAGTTAAGGACTAGGGAAGTATGCAATGTTTTGTTTTGTTTTTTAAATGCCAGGATGGAGAAAGGCAAGACTTCTGTTTTCTTGCATTAAGGGTGACTGTGTGCTGAAGATGGGAAAGTAGGGGGACTGTGTGCGTTCAGAATATGACAGCCAAGATGGGTAAGGAAGTAGAGGGATGATTTTCTCTTCAGATCTCTTCTCTTGTAAGAAACTGTCATTGTATTTCTTTGTCTTTGATTCTCAGTTGTAGTTTATAATGACCTTCGCTTTCTGTTTATATAACATGATGACTCAATAGTGTATTACCAAAGATTATTGCCACTAAAGGCTTTGCCTTACTGTACACTCAAGTATAGTTTAATGATATCCCAGTACAATACTATGGCCTGATATGCCTTAGTTATGGTTATTTTATTCCTAATTAGCACATTAATTTAGGCTTTTATATTTCACATGCCCTTGTATTTCTTTTAAAAGTTCTTCTCCCTCTGTATTCAATGTAAATGAGGCATTATGTGTTTGCATTGTATTTATGAAGCACATACCATGTGCATTTCATATTCATTATGTATTAGCACCTAACAAATTGCCTGGCACATCTTTTAAAAATATGTATAGCTTTTTTGAGATATAATTTACATACCATATAGTTCACCCATTTAAAGTGTGTAATTCAGTGGCTTTTCATATACTCACTAAGTTGCACAACTAACACCATGATAAATTTTAGAATTTAGAATTTTCATCATCCCAAAAAGAAACCTGTACCTCTTAGCTCTCACCTCCAAAACTCTCCCCTCAACCCCTCTTCAGCCCCAGGCAACCACTAGTCTAATTTCTGTCTCTATTGACTTGCCTATTTTGCACATTTTATATAAGTGGATACACACATGGTCTTTTGTGACTGGTTTGTCTCAGTATAATGTTTTCAAGGCTTGTCTATATTGTAGCATGTATTAATACTTCATTCACATTTATTGCTAAATTAAATTGCACTGTAAGAAAATACCATAGTTTATTTATCCATTTATCAGGTGATGGACATTTGGGTTTTTTCTACTTTTTGAGTATTGTGAATAATGCTGCTATGAACGTTCATGTACACACTTTTTTGTGGGCATTTGTTTTTGTTTCTCTTGGGTATGTACCTGGGAATGGAATTGCTGGGTCATATGGTAACTCTATATTTAACCTTTGGGGAACTACCAGACTGTTTTCCAAAGTGGCTGCATCATTTTACATTCCTGCTAACATTGCATGAGGTTCCAATTTCTCTATAGCCTCACCAATACTTTTTATTATCCATCTTTCTGATTATAGCCAGTCTAGTGGATGTGTAGTGGTATCTCACTGTGGTTTTGATTTGCATTTCTCTGATAGCAAATGATATTGAATATCTTTTCAAATGCTTATTGGACATTTGTATATCTTTGGAGAAATGTCTACTTAAATCCTTTGTGCCTGGCACATTTTAAACACTTGAGAAATTTCTCAAATAATTAGATTAATTATAAAATTAAATCACCATAGTAACCAGGCTAAGTAGATTTTATTATCTTGGTTTTATAGACTAAGATTAGAAGGTGAGATGATTAACCCAAGGCCACATCAATGGTCAGTTGCTTATTTAAGCTTTTGGATCCTATCTCTCTCTTATTAGGGACAAAATGCTTTGGGTGATGGCCTCACTGTATATCTATAAAGGATACAGCCAGGGTGAGTATGTCCTCTGATAATGGCCACTTTGTATCTTGCCAACCGTCCCACAAAAGACCGCAAATCAGAATACACGTACTTGACTTTGAATTAATCTATCAGTTCAGTACATTTCATTCTTGTAGAGT